CTGAATGGGAGCATTTCTGCTCTAGCACCCTAACAAACTGCTGTTGTGTGGAAATAGAGGTGATTGTCTTTGTCTTCTTGAACATGTTTACCTTGATATAGCTAGTCATTTACATTTTTAGATATAATAATAAATGTCAACTGAGAAATATCATTCCTTGTCATCCTAATGGTGACTGTCACATGACACGCTGACCCAACCAAACCCTGTAACAGGCGTTTATTGTGGTAGTGTGAACTGGCCTCCTTTCTGATACAGGCAGTCAGCTGATCAGATAAATAATAACCAGACTGTAACAGCTTTCCACTAAGCCGCTGGTATTGGTAATAGGAGTGAACAAGTAGCCTGTTTGACGCTTAGAAATAGAGTCCATGCAAAACAAATGTAAGATGCAAACAGTGTCTTTCTTTATTGTGCTCCAATGAATAAACAATAGGCTTGCTTGAGATGAGCCTGGCCTCGCCTGAAATGTAGGCGAGAGTAGGCGGCTGCAGTGAGGGGAGGAGTGAAATAAGCGCAGTCAAGACGGACAGTTCTGACCTCTCGAAGTGGAACAGATACCAACGAGATCAAAGACCGATATCGCGTTATTCACACTCATGTGCTGTGCTGCTGATTAACATTATATAATTTCAGTTCTGTTGCCTTTATATAAAAACAAATATGATGAACAAGACACTCAAAGTGCTTGCTATTTAATTCCATACGAAAGGCGTATTTGAACTCGGCATTAGCCTATTCCGACACAGCCGCCTCGCCATCGAGAGAGTTTTTTTTTGCACACGTCAGCATGACATCAGAGCAAATCGGACGTAACTCGGACATATTTCATACTTCATGGAGAGGTTTGAGAACCCCTGGTCTAGAAGACTTGAATAGTGCAGAATGCGGACTGTTTTTATGGTGCCTTTCTATTGGTCATATACAGTATTTGTTCGCAAGAGCTTGACATCTATCATTTTAAGGAATAGAGCTCCAATTGTGGAAAAGAGTATACAAATTATTTTGATGATGAAAAATACAGTAAACAGTACTGTGAAATATATAATGTTACTATTTAAAATAGCTGTCTTCTATGCGAATATATAGTAACATATAATTAATTGCTGTGATCAAAGCTGAATTTTTAGCATCATTACTCCAGTCTTCAGTGTCACATGATCCTTCAGAAATCATTCTAATATGCTGCTCAAGAAACATTTTTCAGATTATTCTGAATGTTGAAAACAGTTGTGCTGCTTCATATTTTTGTAGAAAATGTGATACCATTCAGTCTTGGGTAAGATTAAAAAATATAAATTAATATTTTTCTTCAACAAGGTTGAATTAAATTGATTTAAGTGACAGTAAAGATATTTACACATATTACGAAGTACTTATATTTCAAATAAATGCTGTTCTTTAACTGATAATGATTAAGTAGCAAATTAAGCAGCATTAAAATGATTTCTGAAGGAACATTGAAGACTGGAGTAATGATGCTGAAAAGTCAGCTTTGATCACAGATATAAATTACATTTTAAAATATCTTAAATAGAAAACTGCTAATATGTAGGCTACATTGTGACGAATAACGTAAATGGCATTAAAATCTGAGAAATTTGAAAAGGCCAGTAGTAGTTTGTATTCCTGAAAATTAATGTCTGTCGTTTAACATTTTTTTTAATCGTTAAACAAACGCAAATATTGTTATCGTTAAACGGTTGGCAAATATTGCTGAATTGTCTCGTCATGTTAAACTGCTTACATCTTACCTCAGCTCGCATTCAAGTCGCGCGCAGGTAGTAACCAGTTGAGCCGGTTCACAAAATCGAACTGAATCGAACTTTAGTTCCGGGTTGATGACGCAGGACGCACAGCTGAAGTAGCACGTCCGACTCAAAAAGAACCTAAAGTTTGCCGAGGACTCAACAAGAACCGAATGAGCCGGTTTAACCAACTGTCGAAGTTTGCCGAGGATTACCGAGGACTCAAAAAGAATGGAATGAGCCGGTTTAACAAACTGTCACTAGTGTGTCTTCCCTACTACCAATACACACCTGTTGTCTCATTAACCAATTGCCCTTATATACCATGCCAGAGCGCCAACCAATGGACAAATATAAAATTGCTTCATCTACTGTGAAGATTTGTTTTCTTCTTAAACCAACACTCTTAAAAATTAAGGTTATTTATTGGCATCTATAGTTCCTTGTAGAAACATCTCGGTTACGTATGTAACCTTGGTTCCCTGAGTAGGGGAACGAGATGCTGCGATGACGTCATCGCTTTGGGAACACCTTCGGTGTGACAATGTCTGAAGCCCTTATACCATCACGCCACTTCATTGGCCAAATAGCACCACCCCCAAAGCGCACGTAGGTGAGCTATATAGCGTGCTGCGCGCTATTTTCATCAGATTTCACTGATTTACAAAGGAAGCGCTATCAAGGTACGGAACGGCCGAGCATCGCAGCATCTCGTTCCCCTACTCAGGGAACCAAGGTTACATACGTAACCGAGATGTTCCCTCTCATAGGCTCACTTCGATGCTGCGATGACGTCATCGCTTTGGGAACGCTATACCATAACGCCTGACGTACCTTAGATAGCTAGAAGACCAAGGAAAGCGTCTGCTCAAGCGGATAAGACCCGGGAGCCAGGAGCCAGGAGCCATCCCTACGTCCAGACTATAAAACTTGATGAATGTGCTAGGAGAGGACCATCCTGCCGCAGCACAAACATCTTCCGTCGAAGACCCTTTAAAGAAGGCCTGAGAAGAAGCCACTGCTCTTGTAGAATGAGCACGCACCCCTAGAGGCGAAGTCAAGCCACGCGCCCGTATAGGATCCCGAAGCACCTGAGTGGCGGGAAAAACTATAATGGGAAGATGTCCGATTCTGTCGGGCCTGCCCATTGCCCCAACAGTGGGAGCTTTGGAGGCCGTCATAAACGGGCCATGCTCGCATGACCCTTGGGCTTTTTCTCGAACTCTGAAGGCTGGAACGCGCAGAGTATCCGAGGAGGTGCTCGTCGTAAGGACTCGATCTAAAACTGCCCGAGGCGCAATATGCGGCGGGACGGTCAAGATCAGAGTCGGGAGGCCACAGCGAAAGAGTCGAATACGCTTGTGCGGTTCGTACACTCTCTCTAAAGGAGGGCCTGGCCTCCGAAGACGAGCAGAGGAATCAGGAACTGCTATTAGGGGCCTGAGGACGAGAGGGCTTTGCCGTCTAACTCAGGTCTACTCGCTTGCGTTGCCGTTTGCGCCGGCTCGCTATCCCACTCTAACCCCAGCTTATCCACGGCGCGCGTTACAACATCTAATAGTTTGCTGTAAGACGGGGAGGTACGTTTCTTCTGTCCACTCGGAAGGAGAGAACTGCACAGTTCGCCCAATAAATCCTCCGAATCGGAGGCTGCTGTGGTGCTTTCCTATGGGCGACTGATGATTCGCTTCCTGAAGGAAATGAAATCTGATGAAAATAGCGCGCAGCACGCTATATAGCTCACCTACGTGCGCTTTGGGGGCGGTGCTAAGCGCTATTTGGCCAATGAATTGGCGTGATGGTATAAGGGCTTCAGACATTCGTCACACCGAAGGTGTTCCCAAAGCGATGACGTCAGTCATCGCAGCATCGAAGTGAGCCTATGAGAGGGAACTTTAATATCCCTGTAACCTTCAATTTCACAAAAGCTTCTTTATAGAGGAAAATGGTTCCTCAGAATATTAAAATGTTCTTCAAAAATGGCTTATATGAGATCACGGGAAAAACCCCACCTGAAGAGGGTTTTAGCAGCAAAGCCATAGAATAACTGTTTTTGGTTCCCCAAATAACCTGTTAATGAGTTCTTAAAAAGGCCATTACTTTCATTGTGTGAAGAACAATTTAATTATCTCAAGAAACATTTTCCACTGTAAAGAACCTTTTGTGCATTGGAAAAATTCCACAGATGTCAATAAAGAACTTTTTTTTTTTTTTAAAGATTCTATTTGGTTGTACTATACCCTTCTGGTCAACTTCAAAACTTTGTATTGAAAATTATTTTATCCATGATTAATCACGTGTTTGTGCTATTCATCATTTGTAAGTCAGTGTGGATTATAAAGTGTCTGTAAAGTAATTGTCAATGTAACATGTAAAAGAATGCAAAAATTATAGATTTTAATAAATAATACTTTAGGAATTATGGAAGTTTTTAAATTTGCATTGATTGATCTTACACAAATACATTTATCTTACATATATCTTTTTAACATTTTATATCTTTTGAATGTAATCATTAATCAATAAGTATTCAATGATCAAGGTATTGTGCAGTCTAGAGAGTAGGGCTGCACGATAAATCGCATGTGATATTTAACGCGCATCTTATCAGTAAAGCCGGTTCTGTAATCAGCGGTAAATCTCCATCACCTGCGGGCTTTCACATTGAGCAGCATTAACTACACAGAGCCGTTGTTCACTGACGAGCTGCGCAAAACCACGTTCATATTCGCGCGATTTCTTGCGCAGCTCGTCAGTGAACAACGGCTCTGTGTAGTTAATGCTGCTCAATGTGAAAGCACGCAGGTGATGGAGATTTACCGCTGATTACAGAACCGGCTTTCTGACAAGAGGCACGTTTAATATCGCATGCGATTTATCGTGCAGCCCTACTAAAGAGTAAATGTTTTTTTTTGTGTAACTTTTAAGGGGTCACTCAGCTAGTGTGAATTTGCCAGGTGTGTGCATACGTGTCAGTCTTTACATGTTTTTATGAACGTTAGCAATATGCATCAGATATGACATGGCGTGATGGAGGCGACTCTCCAGGGAGCCTCCTGGTTGGTCGAAGGCTGAGGACCCAAGGGATTTCGGTCACCTTGAAATGTAACCGTTGTCTTTATAAGCTACTGTGAGCCTGTTTGTTCATCTCTTTGCTCACAGACAACAAGCTGTGTGAAAACCAGATCACTTACTGCAGAAAATTTAAGCAAGACAAAGACAAAACTCTGGGTTTTCATTCTCAGTCTTCACAATTATTTTATTCTGGCGACAGAATTCAAATTTCAAAAGTCACATTATTAGCAACATGAATTTACTACATGGATTCGTTTTAAAGTAGTTACATTTTCGCAATCTATGAAAAACAGTGAGTATGAATAATTCTGCACAGGATGTAAACACAATGTAAAAGTGCTTTAAGAAGATACATTTAAACAGACCACATTTTTTTGACCACATAAAAAAAACAAAAAAATTTTTTTAGTGTGACTTCTAGCGTAGAATCCCCGCATAATTTTAGTTACAAAGTGCCAAATGAAAAAAATTCACAGATTTTTCGATATTTCTAAAGTTTTGGGTGCTTACATTCTTATTTTCAAAATGTTATAAATTGTTTACAATCAAGCTACAGACAATTACTTTAAACACACAGTGGCTGCTACTAAACTCCTTTCATGGTAGCCGGCTGTGAACAGAAGCTCTTTGGACTCCAGTACATGTCTCATTTCCTCATCCTCTTCAAGAAACCAACTGCTCCACTTACTAGAGCTCCTGCAGCACCGCCCACAGATGCCACACCAGCTGTTGCTGTTGCAGACATACCAGCAGCACCTGAAAAAAATTCAAATTAAAAAAGCTTTATTGTCTATCCCCAATGGGGTAGAAAATTGTCTTTAGACAAAGGCTCAAACAACACAAATAATGGTTACACTTTACTTGAAGGGGTGTGCATAAGACTGACATGACACCTTCATAATCATGACATGACACCTACATAATCATGACATGACACGTCATGAATATGAAGGTTTTTTATGCATGTTTATGACAACTGTCATTAAGTGTCATTCGCTCAGTTATGTGCATACGACCTCCTTCATATTCATGACATGTGTCATGTCATGATTATGAAGGTGTCATGTCAGTGTTATGCACACCCCTTCAAGTAAAGTGTTACCCAAATAATAATCACAACTAAAGTTAACAATACATACATCACTTCAAAAAACAATAACCTTTAAGATCCTATTTAAAATACCAATGGCAGTTGGGATAAAGGTCGTCTTATATTTGGCATTTTTCACCAAAGGCACTTTATCCTGTCTGCCGGATGGATGTAACTGAAAAGAACTATGCAGGGGATGGGAAGAGTCTCCCACAATAACAGAGACTTTCCTTTTTAATGCCACAGTATCCACTGTATTTCTGACGGGCCTACTGCGTTTTGAATTATGGGTGGCACTTCCGGGTTTGGGGGAACTTCCTTTCAAAAAGACTGAAACGAATAATTTCAAATCATAAGGTTGCCCTACAAATAAAGCTTATCCGTCTGTTTGACTGAATGAGCTGTCAATTTCCTTCATGTTTTATTTTCAGACATCATGAGAATAACGTAACGCTTGGTCTTTTAACGTGACATGTTATAAGAATATCTATGGCAAAAGCTCTTTTCAGTCCCTGCATTCTTTTCCTCATGATCATTTTTTTTTTCTTTTGCATTCCACTGTAATAGTATGAAAAAGGAAAACATGTACTGCCCATTTGTGGCCTGTTCTCCAGATTTAATTTACGATATCTCCCAATTCACTGGAAGGCACGAAGAAATTTTTCTCCTCAAATCCTCACGTCTCTATCCAGGTTTGTTTGTTTTCACAGGTAATACAATTTATTATCTGCCAAAATGATGAAAATCACTTTGAAATAGTATCACACAATGCTGAAGTTAATTAACATTTTTGATTAAGGCAACATATATTACATAATACAGATATTACTACAGTGATATGTCACCCGTCCGTTATTGCTGTGGAAGGGATCGGGCTTTTGGGGTTATTCATGGTCTGTTGAAAGTACCTTGTTTATGCTTTATGTCATTTTAATGTTCGATGGTTGAAGTGTGAGTAGAATAATGTCATCTCATTGTACCCAGTAAAAAAAAAAAAAAAAAA